GAGTAAAGCTGTAAAGAGTGGCTCAGCACAATGGAGAATCGGGAAGTGCCAGCCACCCCGAAGGACAGAGTCAGGCTCGGGGGCACCTGGCAAAGATGTTCAGGAGAGCTCCCAGTTCCGTTTTGAGACTTGATCATTGGTCTGGAGTAGCGGGTTTGGGTTGCCTCAATGTCGAGAGCAGAGGTCCCGGAGTTGGGTGGACCTGGTTGAAATCTCAGCATCTCCACCCAGCGACACGCACCTACCTCTGATGGGGTTTGTGTAAAAGACGCGACCTCGGGGTCTCACGCCCACGCCCGTATTTCACCCCGCCCCTCCCAGGGAGGCAGCAGAGCCCTTGGCCCTTGGGCACTCTCGCTGTCCTTTACTCCCTGCCCAGCCGTCCTGGGTGGGTCGTGCTGGTCGCCGTGTGCGTCAGGATCTGTGCTCCGTCCTGTCTCACTGGCAGCTGCGAGGACTTCCTGCCGTCGCCCGCACTAACTCTGCTGACTCTTCCTGTTGTAGGCAGTGGCGATCCTGACAGCCACATACCCCGTGGGTCACATGCCGTACGGCTGGCTGACGGAAATCCGCGCTGTCTATCCCGCTTTTGACAAGGTGAGGACGTGTGCGGTGCAGTCTGAAACACGCTTTCTAAGTGACCGTTTGACAGGCAGGGGTCTCCCAGGAAGAGCCCTTGGGTGTTTCTCAGTGCACCTCCCGTGGAAGGTTAATGTGGTGCCGGGTGTCGAAGGTGGGTCATTTTTCTCAGAAAAGCTTCCCTTGATGTGGATCCTACAATGCTTACAAACTGACATTCCCGTTGTCAGTTTGAAGTTATTGAGAAATTGTTTGTTTGCAAAAGGGAAAATAAACTATGTGTGTGTGTGTGTGCGTGTGTGTGTGTGTAAATATATATATATATATATATATATGCCAGCAGGTTGTACAGAGCAGCTGCATCCCACATAGCCAACTGTGTGGTTCGAGTCCCGGATCTGGTGGTTTGAACAACCACGCGTGTATGTACATTTCCAGAATCCTAAGAGGAGAATGGAGCAGAAGGGATTGTAGTGTGGCCATCTTCCTGGGAATGCTTCCTGACCCCCAGCCCCCACAAGTGCATATGCCCTATGGCAAAACTACTACTACTACTAATATATCGGATTTTGTTTCTCTAGTTAATACTTCACTGACTTCCTGTCGGATGGCCGAGGTACAGACACAGACCCATATGCTCAGTCGTTGCAGCAAGTCTGGGTCCAGCCTGGTCCTGGTGCCATGGGCTTACACCCCCCCCCCAGCCTCTCTTGTCGCAGCCAAGGCACAGCACCCCTGGCCTGTAACTGACCCTCCAGCACATGGCCCTGTCATTATAGCTGCGTTATTGGAACTCAGTGGCTTATGTTCTGAAAATATGACTAGCAAACACACCCCTGAAATAGCACACAAGGTTTGAAAATGAAAACTAGGGAAGGAGCCAGCAACCTGCCACTTGCGCGGTGAGCAGCAGCTGCTTTGCCTTGGGTTTCTCTCCTGCCAGCTCAGAGCCCTAGCTGCTACCACCTTACCTGCTCTCAGCAAGAGCCCTGGCAAGTGAGGACCATGGCCAGGCTCCTGGCAGACCGGCTCTGGCAGAACAGGCAGTGTGGGCTCCAAATCTGGTCAAGGCTGGGCTCCTTCCTTCCTCCCAGCCCTGAATCCCTGAGGGTGCAGGAAGTCCTGGGAAGCCACGCAGCAAGGCTAGGCCAAAGGCCATCCTCTTCCAAAATGCCCCCTTTAAGCTGTTGGTGGGCAAGACGTGTAGGGTTGGAGCCCAGGAGGGGCTTCTGACTCCACCCGCCTTCATGTCACACCCTGACCCAGGTGCAGCCCCTGAGGATGAGCTGGAGTGGGAGGTCAAGTTTGGCAAGATGTCAGTCACTGTCCATCCAGCCCCTCCTCCACTCCTGCATTCACACGCCCTCTGCCCTGCTCCCCTCACAGGCAGTCCTCCACACTCCCAGCCCTGGGCCCCTCTTCCTTCTGTGTCACCATCACCCTCCTTTTCTATTCCCACTCCCGCACTCACCCAGGAAGAGCCGCACACCCCCAGATACATTCGGGGTGCCACCATGAAACCTAACGAGAGATGGCGAGGGATGCTGCCCAGAGCCCTTTCCTAGGCGTGGCGCCTCTGTGGCAGGTACTGGTAAGGGCCTCCACCCACTGCAGACTCTGGCCGGGCCTCAGAATGCAGAGCTTCTCCTGAAGGTGCTTTCAATCCTTGCTTCACCAACACTGAAGGGACGCAAAAATGGAAAAGTACCTGTTGACGCTAACGTGGATGATGCTATCTTTAGCTGCATTGATATGCAGTGTATTCATGCTGGCAAAAGGCATTTTGCAAGCTGTAATGCTACACGGTTATTGAATCTATAAAAAAATTTTAATAATAAAAAATAGATAAAGATTAAAAAAAAAAGTCAAGCATTTAAAATAAATAAATAAGCCCTTGCTTCTCCGGCTTGCAGAAGGTGTGAGGTATTTCAGGAGCGAGTGGGCACTCTGAGTGGGTCCACTTCACACCACAGCAGGTGTGTCAGGAGGAGAGAATTCAATCAACGGTTAGAAATTGTTTTCCTCTCAAGAAATGTGTGTGGAAATAAACCCTAGCAAATCAAAATGGATGGAAGTCTTCCTGCACAATTTCGGGGCCAGCTCCTGGAGCGCAGGATCACATAGTGGCACCGGTCGGGAAGGGCAGGTTCTGAAGGGTCGGAGCTTCCAGCTGCACAAGTCCCATCAGAAGCTGGCTCGGGCCACCTTGAAATAAGGAAATCCAGCAATGTCACACTGTATGGTTTTGTGACCCAAGAAAAATGGTGCTGTGCTTGTGATCCCAGAGCTTAGGAGCTATGAAGGGGCCCTTTGACGAGCATACATACCTCTAGCCAGAAACTCAGGTTACTCGGGATCCGTTGAAAACCTCCCCTTGTTTCCAGACATCCCAGCGCATTACACTGAGCCGCTTTCGTGAGTGCTGTCTATTCGCAAAATCTTATGCCCTTCTTCATGTGTGGACTTTCAGAATTACTACAGTAACTGTGAAAATCCTTAGCCTCGTTAGGAGTTCCAGAATAAGAGATGTAAATTTCTCCCACACTTTCTGGGAATTCTAGCAACATGTGGACTGAGAGAAATTCCCACGCGTGCAAATTCTGATATTCCGGTATCACCTGCATGAGGGTGTGCTTCTGAGTGGACCTCACAAACAAAATGAGCACTGATATTGATCCGCGCATATGTCCTAGTTTATTTCAACTGTATTTGTGAAAACATGCGCTGTTTTACGGATAAATGACCCCTGAAGGAACAGCAGCACGCTGCCCTCACCGTGGGTGGTGTGTGCGCCG